AGTAGTACTACTACTACCACCACTAGTACCACAAGCAGTAGTACCACCAGTACCAGTACCACTACTACTACTACTACCACCACTAGTACTACAACGAGTGGCAGCAGTACCACAAGTAGTACTACTACCAGTAGCAGTAGCACCTCAAGCAGCACTACTACCACGACCAGCACTAGCAGTACTACTACTACCACTACCACCACAAGTGCTACAACAAGTAGCAGCAGTACTACAAGTAGTACTACTACGAGCAGCAGTAGTACCACAAGTACCACTTCCACAAGCAGTAGTAGTACCACAAGTAGTACTACTACGAGCAGCAGTAGCACCTCAAGTAGCACCACTACAAGCAGCAGCAGTACTTCAAGTACTACTACTACTACCACTACCACCACTAGTACTACAACAAGTAGCAGCAGCACCACAAGCAGTACTACCACGAGCAGTAGCACTACTACTACCACTACCACCACCAGCAGTACCACTACGAGCAGTAGCAGTACGTCAAGTAGCACTACAACCACCAGCAGCAGTACCACAAGTAGTACTACCACTACTACTAGCAGTACTTCAAGCAGCACTACTACCACGACCACCACTAGCAGTAGCAGGACCACAAGTAGCACTGCAACCACCAGCAGTAGTACTTCAAGTAGTACTACAACGAGCAGCAGCAGTACCTCAAGTAGCACTACTACCACTAGCAGTACCTCAACTAGCACCACTACAAGCAGTAGCAGTACTTCAAGTAGCACCACTACTACGACCACCACTAGCAGTACCACTACGAGCAGCAGCAGCACTACGAGTAGCAGTACAACGAGTAGTAGCAGTACCACAATTAGTACTACCACTACCACTAGTAGTACCTCAAGTAGCACGACTTCCATCATAACTTCTCAAGGATCAGATATTAATGAAAGTAATAATATGAATAATATAAAAAATAGTTTATCGATTTTTCTTTTCCAAATTAGCTTGTTATTCACCGACGATTACATTGATTCCTGGACAATCATCTCTATCATCGCCCATGTCGTATCGACGTAGTCAAGATTTTTCTATTAGTTCAATGATTCAATTTAATTGTGATGGTTCACTTTCAAGAACTACAAAATGGACAATAAAGAATTGTACTTCAACTAGATGTTCATTTGAAATTGTATTAAATGAAAAAGTTATGACAACATATAGTGAACTTTATATCCCATCAAGAACTCTTGATTATGGTGTTTATCAACTAACATTAAGTGTAACAATGATTGATTCACCGAATTTAAAAGCATCATCTTCAGTTTATGTGAGAATAACTGCAACAGGTATAACAGCGAATCTTGTTCAATTAGGGACATCTATGATAACACGAGGTGATCAACAGGATCTTTTACTTGATCCTGGAACATTTTCAGTTGATCCTGACGAAGATACATTTGATGCAACTGTAAGTATAAATATCTGTAGGTGAATATTCAAATAATTTTATTTTTATTTTTAATTATAGAAATGGAAATATACATATTATTGTCGAATTTATGATTTATATAATTTCCCAAATCTGCAAGGAATATTATTATCAATTGATGATTCAACAATTGATCCTTATAATCCATCATGTTTGTCAACTCGATCAGGTAAAATCATTAATGAAAATCTAATTCAATCATTTTTATTATTTTTTAAAAAGGAAATGGAACAGGATTGATATTCGGAAATTTAACTTTATCACCTAATTCATCGCTAACAGTTCTTAGTGGTTCACTTCAATCAAATCAAATGTATCAGTTTATGGTCTATATGGAAAATCGTAAGAATGCTTCTATTCAAGCAACAGGCTATGTACTTGTTACAATTCAAGTTACTCATCCACAATTGATTGCTGTTGGGTAAATTCTTTATGAGTTTTTAATTGAATTATTTTAATGAAAAAGATTTATTTTAGTTGTGTAATATCATCAATGTGTGTTCCAAATCTTGAATTTCAACTTCTTAATCCAACAACACAAGTTGCTTTATTTACTGTTTGTATTGGAACTTGTACGAATCTTCAAAGTATTAAATGGAATATTTATCAAGGATCAGACAATTCAACATCTTCAAATTCTACTCAATGGACTTTATTTAATAATACGATTCTATATGAAAATATTTGGTTTTTTGGTAAAAATCTTGTTTTTTTTAATTATCAGATGTATTACTTAATTATTTTAGGTACAAATACAAGTAATTTTACAGCAACAGATCAATTATTTCTTAATAATCTTCAAATAAATCTTTGGCGTTTTGAAGTTGTTTATACATTTCTGTCCGCAATAAGTACAAGTGCATTGAATTTTATTATTAATCAACCGCCTGCAAATGGTTCGTGTTCAATTAATCCTCTTAATGGTACTATAACTACTTTATTCACTATTACGTGTCCAGATTGGTATGATGTAGATGGAATACAAGATTATTCATTATATGGTATGTTTAGTTTCCATTACGAACTGACTTTTGTACATTTTGTAATTTTAGCATGGACAACAGATATATCACAACGAACAATAATCGCATTTTCACAAGAAGATAATTTTCAAGTTCGATTACCAGGTGGTGATAATGAAACTTCATTACTCAATCTTGTTGTTTACGTTCGAGATCTTGTGGGTTCTGTTACACAAGTGAATATATCTTCTGTTAATGTTATTGCAGATTTGGCAATAATCAATGATTTAATTGATAAAATAACAAATTCATCGAGTACGATAACAAATAATCCAATTGTTCGATTACTTTCAAGTGAAAATCAAAATGTTGTTGGACAAATGATCATTTCATTATCACAAGAATTCAATCAAATGAATAGTGAAAATTTAGATAAAGCTATATCAAGTAAATATTCATATTCAGTTTATCAAAGATAATAAAAATAATCTTTCTTAGGTGGAATACCAGCTGCATCGATTTTAGTATCATCATTAGGAAGTTCAAGTTTACAACAAGTAATTGAATTTAATAGATTTTATTTAATTTAATTTCTATTTAAAATAGATTTCAATGCCATTGAATGAATCAGCTTTGATTAATTATAATATAAAATTAAATTCTCTAGCAAATGTTCGAGATTATCTAGTAACATTTATAACTAATCTTCTTATAACAACATCAAATAGTATTATATTACAATCATCATCATTAGTTCAATTAACTCAAGCAACAGATCAATTAACACGAAATACTTTAGTAAATTTATAAAGAATATTTCTATTGAAGATTCTTATATTTTCGAATAATTCTAGATGCTTGTAGCAAATAGATGTTATCAATTATCTGCTGCTCTATATGCAATATTTGAAAAAATCTCATATGAAGATGCTCAATCAGCATCAGATCAACTTTTTCAATGTGCTTCAAATATTTTAAATGTAAAATATATAAAATTAGTATTCTCACTTCTCTATCGAACTCTTGAGGCTGTGGGTGTGGACGATGATACGAGATGAAATCAGCAGCCACACCCTTCAATGATTTTGACATAAAATGAATTTTTTTTCTTTAATTATTGATTCTAATAATTTTAGGCCGTGAATGGACCATTACAAGGACGAACAGAGGTACTTGATTTAGATTCTTCTCGTGCAAATGTCATATCTACTGATTATGATACTGATCTTGAATCTGCATGGTCAAATTTAAGTAAGATTCTTTTAAATGATTAATTATTATTGAATTTAAATTTGTTTTTTTTTGTAGATTTATTTTCTGATGGAAATGATTTTTCTACTGAAACAATTGAAAAAAATCGAAATATTTATTATCAAAAACAATTAGCAAATCAAATTAATAGTCAAGTAACACAAATGATATCATTATTGACTGCTTCATTAAATATTCATTTAAACATCGGTCAAAGTTCACTAATGAATACATCTCAATCGTTTGTATCATTAGAAACTATATCAATTCAATCACTCAAAGATAGACTTGTGAAACAAGTTGAAAATGCTCAATTTAGTATTCCATCAGATTTTATTTTAAACACAACGTCTAATTCTTCAATTTCACTTCGAGTAATTTTCTACACTTTGAATCATTTTTTATTAAGTTAATTTTGTTTTATTCAGTCAAGAGTAGATCCACTTGCTTCATATGGAAATTTTCAAAATACAAATCTTTCAAGATCAATTTCACTTTCAATTATTGATCAAAATGGAAATGAAGTTTCTTTTCAAGCCCATCAAAATAATACAATACAATTGATTATTCCTCGTGATCCAAATGTATTAATTCCATCAATGTATTTACAAAATGTTACATCAATTAATTCAACTATTAATTATTTATTATTTAATTATTATTATATTAATATTACAAGTTCACTTCCAGTTTCAGTTCATTTTGAAATTCATTCTTTGAATCGAAGTCTTGCTTATTTATTTATCTATAGATTTGATCAAACACCACAGTTAAATAGTTCAATTAATCTTATTGATGGATGGACAGTGTTTTGTCCTCTCAGTATGTTTTCTTTTCTTAAACATTCATATAGATTTCGTTTTTGTAATTATAGATTTAAGCAATGATGATATATATCGATATTTTATTGATAATCAACAAACACCTGGTCATCAATCATTAATATTTGGAATACGAGAATTAAATTCAACTGAAATTAATAATCATTGTTTGAATAATTCATCAATAAATACGTCTTTTCCAATTACCGATGAATCAATTAGTTTTACATCAAATTATGAACTTCGTATATATACATCAGGTTGTTATTACCTTGATGATAATAATAATTGGAAATCAGATGGATTGATTGTAAGTATAAAATGGATTAAGAAAATAAAGATTATTTGATATTTATTTAACTATAGGTTGGATCATTAACAAATTTGTATGAAACTGAATGTCTTTCAACTCATTTAACAACATTTGCTGGTGGTTTTCTTGTTTTACCTGCACCAATTAATTGGAGTTATGTTTTTGCCAATGCTGATTTTTCGAAAAATAAAACAGTTTATTTAACAATGATATTTACTTCAATAATTTATATTGTATTATTGATTTATGCTCGTTTTAAAGATAAGAAAGATTTTGAAAAAGTAAACTAAAAGCATTATTTTATATATTTCATAGAGTTAACATTTACATTTCTTTTTAGTTGGGGGTAACACCATTAGCTGATAATAATAAATCTGATCATTATTATTATCAAATTCTTGTTTTTACTGGTCAAAGAACAAATGCAGGAACAGATTCAAAAGTAATAGTACAGAGAAAATAAATATTTTAGATAAACTTTTTTTTTCTTTCTGCAAGGTTTATTTTGTCTTATCGGGTGATAATGATCAAACACAAGTTCGATTATTTGCTGATCCTCACCGAAAAATTTTTCAACGTGGTGGAATTAATTCTTTTATTATTGCTGTTCCAAAGTAAAATGATTATTTTTTTTTGAAGATTTTGTTTAAAGATTAATATTTAGATCATTGGGATTATTAAATTATATTCGTATTTGGCATGATAATTCGGGTGAAGGTTCTTCAGCATCATGGTTTTTAAAATACATTATTGTTCGAGATTTACAAACTCTAGATAAGTCTTATTTTATTTCTCAACAATGGTTTGCAGTTGAAAAAGATGATGGACGAGTAAGTCGTTTAATAGAAAACATACTATTTCTTAGTTTTGTCTTCAATTTAGATTGAAAGAACTTTACCAACTGCTAGCGAAGCAGAAATGCAAGAATTTTCATATGTATTATCAAAAAAAGCTTATCATAGTATTTCCGATGGTCATTTATGGTTTTCAATATTTTCTCGTCCACCATCAAATGAGTTTACACGTGTTCAACGATGTACTTGTTGTTTTGTTTTATTCTTTACTTCAATGTTAATTAATATAATG